CGGTCGAGCCTTTTACGAAGGTCGTTTTGTGATCGTTACTCCTCGGAGGACGTCAACTTCCTGTTTATCCTGCTTGCATTCACTGCTTTCTATCTGGTGGATAATATTGTTGTTGTTTTTTGCCTTGTCGGGTCTTCTCATTTGTTTTTGAAATCAGTCTCCTCAAGTCAACCTTTGGTTTACCAGCCACTGAAATTGGATTTTTTGCAATATTTTTGTTTTGATGTATGGGAGTAATATTCGTTCAGATGATTATTCCGGCCATTGTTGTTGCATCCTCCTGGGTTGTCGTCAAAACAACAAATTGTAACCTCGTCCAGAAGTACACAAATAAACCCGAGCTCAACACTACTCAACGAGTAGTTAGGCGCCAAAGCGGAGCTACGCTCCGTTTCATAGCAACGTAATGATGACGTTGCCTCCATTGATGACGAAAATTGTAACGAAATTGCCAAGTTCAGCGAACAATTAGACCATCAGCTGATAAGCAGCCCATCGAACAGACTGACAACCGACGAGGTGGCATTTCGCAATAGTGTACGTGTATCCACGTTGAAAACCATTTACTGAAGCAGATGATGGATTCACTTTCCTCTGTCCGGTGATTCATAATTTGCATATAGAAGCACCAGCTTGGAAGAACTAGTCCAGTGAAACGGTCGAATCAATTACATGATCAGATCCCTCCGCCTCACTGTCGCATCAACTTGAGGAATCACATGAAGTTTTTTAGGGATCGTGTGGAATCAAACAGTTGCGTTAAAAGCGCAGTGGTCCTTTAACGCCTTCGGTGAAACGTGCAGCGTGTGGCAACTTTTACTGCGTGTGTGAAGCTTCATTCTGAATCACACGTTAAAACTACGAGTTAAATTCTCACTACACTCAAATACTCCTCGGACTAACAACCACCCTTCGATAAATGAGTGTTTACCATGGCAAACTAATTTAGCCGCAGTGGTCGGGATTACTCAGCGTTTTTAGAAACTAACCCTACGTCATTTCTGGATGCAGAACGTGCAGCCGGTGGTCGTGCTGTTCTCATATTCCTAGGGATATATTATCGTGATCTGAGAAATATTGGTGTGAAATCAATAAACATTATCGTATTGAATTTGGGCTGGACATGAACAAACAAAATGGTAGAATTCTGTGTTATTGAATGATGTTGAAGGAACACTCCCTTTCGAGGTATTTAGTTAGATTCACATTCAGATATCCTGTGGGTGTCGAGTGTTTAGTCGTTTGTTTTGCCAGCGCTCCAAACGACCACACGTAGTCGCAGTTTTGGGGTTTTGTGGGATAGGTATTTTGTTCATGGTCACACCACTCTCTTTCGAGCGGTCGTCTTCCTGTTGTGGCTCAGTTATTTCGGTGAGTCCACACCAAAGGGAAGCACTGAACTCGAGTTTCGCTTTTATTAGAGCTCATCAGCAGTGCATATTCAATGACCGTGCCGGGATTCGAACTCCGGACATCTGACAGGTAACCACTACTCTACAAACGCACATTGGACACATCTGAATTTTCACGTCTGAACAGGCAAGCGTGTTCACTCTTGAGCGATGTAAGTGGTGTGCCGGACTCATTGAACGACGCTCCAGCAACTGTCCCGCTTGTGGCGGTCGTGAAAATCCAGATGCGTCCAATGTGCTTTGGTGGAGTAGTGGTTACACGCTTGCATCTCATGTCAGATGTCTGGGGTTCAATTCCCGGCACGGCCATTGAATATGCACTTCTGATGAACTCCAATAAGAATGAAACTCGAGTTCAGTGTTTCCCTTTGGTGTGGACTCACCGGAATAATTGAGCCAGAGCAGGAGGACGATCGTTCAAAAGAGAGTGGTGTAACTGTGAACAAATGTAGTCGCCTTTTTTTGATTCCTTCGAACCGGATATTCGTGCTCCGATCTATATAAACCATCCTGGCCTACTCTGGTTTCCGAATGCAGAGCCACTGCTGAGCGATTTACCCTGAGGATTACTGGGGCTTCCAGATGAAAGTCATGTTCTCTTCGTCCAATGGGACCTCTTGGTTGTCTCTTGGTTGTCAGGCAATAATATATTTCGGTATTTATTCATTTTCCGTTTCTGCATACGTTCCAGCCACGATAAGCATGTCTCCAATTTAGAAACATTACCGTGACTTATAATGTGAGCCATTGGTTGGGTTGCTGCGCTGCATAATCCGGAAAACAATCCAGTTGTTCTGTGCTCAAACCAAGAATTGGCCTGTTGCTATAAACCGCCTTTAGCTCACTGAGCAGTTGTATGACTTTCTGCCTCGAAATTCCCACCGCGCTGCTGCGCCAGAGGAGCATTCATCGGAAGTGCTCAGAGATGGCCCTGAGTCATATTTTCCGCTCTGACACGATAGACTGGTTGGTTTTCACAACAAGAATGTGATCATACCTGGTGACCCCTTCTCACTGGTTCATTCAAGTAAGTAATCTGCACATTGTGGATCCTCTCTGTGGGTCACTGACGCAACCGAACCAGGGAATTCGATTAAATCAGTTCGGTAGCACTGAATAGAAGTTCACCATTCGTCTATATCCAGCAGCTTCAATGACACAGAAACACGGGTGCTCATATTGTCAAGATCTACATACACACTAATGTAAATACCCGCATTAGTTAAGTGCCGAAGAGATACAATCTACACTGAGGGCTGTCCTACGGTGCGATACCGACATTGTTCTTGCCAAGTAGTGCAAACACTCCCTTTGTTATTTCTTAACAGATGATGAGATGTGAACTCCAAGTCTGAAGGATCTATAGAAAAAACAAATTCACGGAATTTCGTTATTCTTTGGAACTTGTTCAGGGAGCTAAATGCGTCTGATCAAACAGAATGTTGTGAATTTCCCTCGACCGTGCGTAATTCAGAAAGAACTGTTTGAACTTTGCCTCTGGACAGTGACATTGCCCGAGTGAATATTCGGGGAGTAAACATTTACCATACTCTCAAAAAATACACTCATTTGCGAATCAATTTGGTTTTCACAGAGGAAAAAATTGAATCCCTCGTTTATGGTATTTTTCAACTGAATGCGCTGCAGGAAAGCCGCCACACGTTTCAGTTGGTACGTTATTGAGATGTCGCAACTTTGCGGAAAACTCTTCAAAATCCCACGGCCGGTTTCGGCCTTCTTGGGGCTCATCAGGTGGGGCACAGTCCCCGAGTTTCCGTCAACCTTATGATCTACTTGAACCCAAATTGCACTGTTTTCGATAAATACACTCATTTGCAAATCAATTTGGTTTTCACAAGAGGCTCACCTGAATCTCTCGTTTATGATGTCCTTCAGTTGAATATAGGCGAGTAAACATCTAATCTGCTCCCTTCACGGTATGCTTTATCACATCAACGGATCTAACACTAAGCAATTTAATTCTTGATTCAGGTTGAGGTTAGAGTAAAATCACGCCAAACATTTCATTCGGTTAACGTGCACGAGATCCTGGCGACTCACGACTCGTCAGACGTAATCTAAACTGGTTTTGTGGGAAGAAACAGTACACTGAACTAAAACTGTCAAACCCGTTGATTTGCGGGCTTAATTGGTGTCACAAGTGAGCTAGCCCTGTCTGAAACGGATCACTTCATGGGTAAGATGGCAAGTCCTCATTTTGAATGTGTTTGTGTATCATGTGGGTAAAGATTTCAAGGTGGATATGGATTTACTCAAAATTGTATCAGTTAGAAATTTCACTTTTGGGTTCGGAATTGATAAAACTCACTAACAACGCCCAATCACCAATATATTTCAAGCACAAGGATATGCCCATTGGTCGAAATTTATGAGCAGAGCTTACTCCGTGTGATTGGCAGTTACGAATGTAACTATTTGGGGAAGTACAGTCGCGTGGTCGAAAAGCGATCCTGTTGTAGACAAAGGGTAGACCTCCTGAGTCCTGAAATGACCACATCTGTTGTGATCTGGACTACTACTGAATGCAGAGACGATGAGAAGCCAACCACATGGCTCAAAATCCTGCCAAAAGAATCATGTGTGGCCTCTCAGGTCGAGTTGGTCAACGAAACATTCAGCTCTGCAAACCGTTCCGACACTAACATCGCCCAATGGACCCCATGGCCCATGGACCGATATACTTCTCCCCACGGCATATGTACTCCTCCCCTACTCACGGCAGTGGAAGAAAACATGCTTATCAAAGGACTTAATTTCAATTTCAAGGATGCTAGTAATCTAGAATATCTGGCCAGTCTCGAAGCAGCCTTCAAATCCAGCAACCTCAATGAAGAAACCCAGCAAGCGATACGTCAAACCATTGTCCCACCTATCACTCGAAACAAAACACACAACGCTTTATCCACGAAAGAAAAAAGAGCAATAAACAGCCTCAAAGCGGATGAAACCATCGTCATTTTGCCAGCTGACAAAGGGAGAATGACAGTCATTCTGGAGAAAGCTGAATACATCGACAAAGCTAACGCTCTACTCAATGACACAACCACATACCGCCGTCTGCAGAACGACCAAACCGCGAAACTTACGAACTCACGAAGAAACTCAAGGATCTTCACAAAACTACAGAGGAAGAATACTGGAGAATGAAGGCTCGTGACTCAGAAGTTGCCCGATTCCACGGACTTCCAAAGGTTCACAAAGAAACGGTACCACTACGCCCAATTGTCTCACTACCAGGAACACCCACGTACAACATTTCAAGAGAATTATGGAAGTGGCTGAAATATCTAACCAATGGGTCCCAATATTCGATCAACAATGCGGGACAGTTTTTGGAGAAACTTAAAAACGTGAGAATTGAAGAAGACGAAATAATGGTGTCCTTTGATGTAACCTCACTGTTCACATCGGTTAACTTGAATGCAGGACGGACGAAGGGCCGCCGAACTCCTGGACAACCGCGGAAACATTAACGGAACGCTCGAAAAAGAAATATGTGAACTACTAGACCTGTGCTTGACAATCTAGTTCAATGGAGAATATTACGAACAGATCAAAGGAACGCCAATGGGGTCACCAATCTCTGGACTCATCGCAGAAATCGCAATGCAGAAACTGGAGCGAATCGTACTACCAGATATCAAACCGCAAATATGGGTACGATATGTGGAGGACACATTCGCTGTTGTAAGGGAAAATGAACTACTACGAGCGGAGGAACTGCTGAACAACGTGTTTCCCGACATCCAATTTACAATGGAAACTGAAGAGAACAACAATTTGGCGTCCCTAGACGTGCTTGTAACAAGGACAACAAACGGCCAACTACAAACTGAAGTATACAGGAAAGAAACGCATACGGACCAGAGTCTGAGTTACCACAGCAACCATCCGAACTGTCACAAGCGGAGCTGTGTTCGAACTCTATTCAAGCGGAT